GGCCTTACCAATTAGAATAGGGTTTGGGGGTTCCTTGTAGTATTTATTTGTAGTATGATATACCCCCAAAGCCCTATTCTAATATGACGGCTGGATGTCAACAGGTCCGTCTACCACAGTTGGGCGTGTTGCGGCTGTGGGTGCTGCGGGTGCTGAAACACGTCATACGGTTTAGTGTTTAGGGTTTAGGGTTTAGGGTTTGGATGTGCAGATTGGCCGACCGTAAACAAGAGCTGCGTGGACGATCCTGCTTTACCACCCAGACCCTTTGAAACCCAAAGCGCTGAACCCCAAAACCTTAAACCCATAAAACCCTAAACCCCTAAACCCTAAACCTTGAACCTTCTAGAGAATCTCGGTGGACCCTTCACCCTACGGCTGCATCAATCCCGGACCTTGCAGATCTTTGGGCGTAACGTAAGGGCCGTAATACTTAGAATAGGGCTTTGGGGTATAATATACTATATCTATAATACGGAACCCCCAAAATAGTATAGGTAACTATTGAGACCCCCCCATATTTGGGTATCCCTGGAGGTGCAGTTGTTTTGTGGTACTGCGCAGCAGTTCGAAGCTTTTTGGCTTTTTGGGTTTAGTTCTTCGAGCTGAGGGCTTCTAGGGTAGAATAGGGTTTAGGGTTTAGGGTTTAGGGTTTAGGGTTTAGGGTTTAGGGTTTAGGGTTTAGGGTTTAGGGTTTAGGGTTTAGGGTTGGGTTTTGGGCTCCTTTCTAGTAAAAGCATAATAACGAACCCTAAGGAATAGTATTGGTAGTTATTCAGGCTTCTATATTACGATGGACATAAAGAACATCCGAATCCAAAATTCACCAAACCAGTAGAATCCATGTCTCAAGCCCGCCAAGGCAGCTGCGCTTGTTAACAAGTCAAGCTCCTAAAACCTCAGCATCCAAAGAGTAAGATTACAATTTCTGCAACGAATCCCCAAAATCCTCATTTTCTGAACCCCACGGTTGGAGCTTAAAAGCTTGTCTGTGCCACTCCGCTAAGCCTCACTAATTGGCGCTCGCCGGCGGCAGCGATGCAACGCATCATGCCTGTCATCAGTGCCTGTATGGGGGGGGGAACTCTTACCCAAACCATTAAAAAGAATAGTTCTACTTTCCAAACCCTAGTTTCTATACTATGTCGGGTAAGGTAGTAACCAGAAAGGTAAGACCTCATAATCCCAATGCGGCGAAGGTAAAGTATAGGGATCAAAACAACCCATGTTCTGATTATCCGACTCCCTCCGAAATAACGGCACCCAAACCACACAAAGATGTAAACGGATCTTGAACATTGCCCAAGGTGCGGAAAATGGTCTAGGACTGCACCTGCCCAGTGCAGGAGAGATTCTTGACCCTAAACCCCACCTTAAGAACCCAAAACCCACTTTTTTGTAGGTTCTTATTATAAACCCTAATACGGGATTTATAGGGACCATACAAAAAAGTAGGTTTTGGGTTCTTAAGGCAAGCCTTAAGCCCGAAAAACTAAAGTATGATCTTGTGGCCATTACGGGATTGAGTTTACCTCCGCCCCGGCTGCCTACAACAAACTCAAAGTTGCACAACTCCACCACACTGGATCTGGACAATAATATCTGCAGTGCGTTACTTTTGCGTTTCAGGATTATGCTATAAGGGTTCATTTAAAGGGATCTATAAGAGTTCCTCTAAAGGGATCTATAAGGGTTCCTTTGAAGGAGAGTTACTGCAATTTTCGGGTGTGGGTGTTCAGGCTCCAGGCATGGAGGCTTCAGTCGTTATGGGTCCGCGGCTCCAGGCATTGCAAGTCCCGCCCAATATCTTAGTTTCTTCTGCCGTGCTTGAGGGGGTAGGGTTTAGGGTTTAGGGTTTAGGGTTTAGGGTTTAGGATACCCTAAACCCTAAACCCTATGTATTATACACCTCAAACTCCAAACCTTACTGGGCCTGGTGTCACGTAGGCTGTTGGCCGTAAGTGTCCACACTGCACTTCACAATGCAGTTACGTATCGCACAGGTCACTGTTTTAAGTTTTTGTGTCGAAAAAACTAGTGGAGATAGCTGCGACTCTAGAGATATGTCCCTAAACCCTAAACCTTATAAACCCTAAACCCTATAAGCCCTATAAGTCCTAAACCCTAAAAACCCTATAAACCCTAAACCGTGATATGTGCCAACCTGCTTGGACCACGTTGCGCAAGGGAGGATTTCAGGGCGCCCGCGCAGGCTGCGGGTCTGAAGGTTGAAAGGCTTGCCATCTCTAGCAAGGAGATGAACCTTCAATGTCTCTGGGTTTAGGGTATAGGGTTTAAGGTTTAGGGTATAGGGTTTAGGGTTTAGGGCTTAGGGTTTAGGGTTTCTATAAGTAGGTACATCTCCCTACCAGGTTGATTTTCGGGTTGAAACGGCATCGGTGCAAGGAGATGCCCAGGAGTGGCCTTTGAGTGCCACTTCATCTTCATGTGCTCTGGCATTGAAGGAAGTCTATAGGAGCCCAAACCAAAGGAGACCTTAACCCCTAAACCCTAAACCCTAAACCCCTAAACCCTAAACCCCTAAACCCTAAACCCCTAAAACCCTAAACCCAAAGCCCTAAACCCCTAAAACCCTAAACCCAAAGCCCTAAACCGTGCTGACAGTATCGCACTTACAGCTCGAAGCTGCGAAAGAACAAAGCCACTGCATTTCGTCGAGAATTTCGCCTTCGAGTGGCCTCTTAATTCGGATCACATTCTTTCTGCTTAGATTAGGGGAATTGTTCAATGAGCTTGTTGGCCATGCTTTTGTAAAAGCACTTTTACAAATTGTGTGTAATAAATTCCGCCTCATTACCAATGTCCCATCAATAATAAGGGGATCCTTGTTGTCTCTTGTGCGGCTTGAAGTCGGGTTCGCCAAGAGCTTACGGCAAAAAGGCGCAAGAAGGCACTAGTGGAGGACCTACACACCCCAAACCCGCACAGAACATCCTGGGAAGAGACCATGAAGGGACCCTCAAGGGACCCTAAACCCCAAAGTCTTTGAGGCCTGCTTGAACACCCCCCACACCCCATCTCCCACTCAACAACTCCCACTATAACCCTGAACTCTATGAAACCCTATACCCTGAACCCTAAACCCTAAGCCCTGAACTCTATAAACCCCCCTAAACCCTAAACCCTAAACCCTAAACCCTAAACCCTAAACCCTAAACCCTAAACCCTAAGCCCTGAACTCTATAAACCCTAGAGCCCTAGAGCCTAGCAAGAAGAGGATCCCGACCCAAAAAGGCTCCATATACCTAAAATAGTATAGACTTATGCTTTAAAGGGGTTCAGGGTTTAGGGTTTAGGGGTTTAGGGTTTAGGGTTTAGGGTTTAGGGTTTAGGGTTTCCTATATGGGTACTTGAATGAAGGCCTTTACGTATATACTTTCTGGGAAATTTGCTAAATTAGGATCCCTTTTTAAGTCCCCAGAATAATGCAGCACCCTTCTAAGGCAGACCCTGAAAAGAACCCCGCCAATGTAATGCTCATAAACGTACATTGAGCCCTAGGGACCCAAGCGACCCCCTGGCATAGCTTGGCCCAACCTCCGGGCAATCGAAGGGCCACCAAGGGCAGTGAGTAACGTCCTGCCTCGGCTTGGGTTCAGGCTTTAGGGTTTAAGGTTTAGGGGCCCTTCTACAGCATGATATTATAATATATATATATATATATATATATGTTCTGCTATACTATATATATATATATATATATATATATATATTACTATATGCTGCACTGTTCGGGAACCTAGGGGTTTTCTAGTTTAGAGGGTTTACGGTTTACGATTTAGGATTGGGTATGTGGTTTAGAGGGCGGGTCCATTTTTGCAGTCCCATGCCCGCAAGCACTGCATGATAGAGCTACTGAGCCACAGTTCGAGTGATACAGAGTCCTCATCCATTAACACTACACGGCTACCTACCCAGCCCCGAAGTTTGAAGCCCCGAGAACAACCTGGAGTGTCTTCATCAGGTTCCTACCAGAATCGGCGACGCGTGCATGCAGGTCACGAAGGCACGCAGCATTTCTAGCTGCTTGAATCTGCTGCACATTCTCCAGCTGATCACGCAATGCACTGCAGTCGCCAGCGTGGTGAGTACTTCCCCAGGTCACGACAGAGCCATCTGCCACGATCGCAGCAAAGGCCGATCATGTTGCTGATGTTGCTTGAATCTGCTGCATGCTCTGCAGCTGAACCTCAACTGCACTGCTGTCACCATCGCAAGCAGTGTCGCACCCCACGATCGCAGCAAAAGCACTTCGATTTGCTTGAATCTACTGCACGTTGTTCAGCTGATCACACACAGTACTGCTGCAACCACCGCGGAGGGCACTGCCCCAGGTCACGACAGAGCCATCTCCCACGACCGCAGCAAAGGCCGATGATGCTGCTGATGATGTTGCTTGAATGTGCTGCACATTCTTCAGCTGATCACACAATGCACTGCAGTCACCACCGTGGTGAGCACTGCCCCAGGTCACGACAGAGCCATCTCCCACGATCGCAGCAAAGGTCCGTGATGTTGCTTGAATCCTCTGCACGTTCTGCAGCTGATCATGCACAGCATAGCAGTTCCCTCCGCAACCAATGTCGCCCCAGGTAAACACAGAGCCATCCCCCACGATCGCAGCAAAGGCACTCTGATTTGCTTGAATCTGCTGCACGTTCTTCAGCAGCACACGCACGCCACTGCAGTCACCACCGTGGTAAGCACTGCCCCAGGTCACGACAGAGCCGTCTCCCACAATCGCAGCAAAGGCACCCTGATTTGCTTGAATCTGCTGCACGTTCTTCAGCTGATCACGCACCGCACTGCTGTCACCCCCCTCGCTAGCCATGCCCCAGGTCACGACAGAGCCATCCCGCAGGATCGCAGCAAAGGCATTACGAGTTGCTTGAATCTGCTGCACGTTCTTCAGCTGATCATGCACTGCGCTGCTGTCACCACCGCGGCGAGGCTTGCCCCACGTCACGACAGAGCCATCTCCCACGACCGCAGCAAAGGCCGATGATGTTGCTTGAATCTGCTGCACGTTCTTCAGCTGATCATGCACTTCACTGCTGTCACCACCGTGTTGAGCACTGCCCCAGGTCACGACACAGCCATCTCCAAGGATCACAGCAAAGGCAGGCGATGTTGCTTGAATCTGCTGCGCGTTCTTCAGCTGATCACGCACTGCACTGCTGTCACCACCGCAAGCAGTGTCGCCCCAGGTCACGACAGTGCCATCCCCCAGGATCGCAGCAAAGGCACGTGATGTTGCTTGAATCTGCTGCACGTTCTTCAGCAGCACACGCACGCCACTGCAGTCACCACCGTGGTAAGCACTGCCCCAGGTCACGACAGAGCCGTCTCCCACAATCGCAGCAAAGGCACCCTGATTTGCTTGAATCTGCTGCACGTTCTTCAGCTGATCACGCACTGCACTGCTGTCAGCCCCCTCGATAGCCATGCCCCAGGTCACGACCGAGCCATCCCCTAGGATCGCAGCGAAGGCCGATGATGTTGCTTGAATATCGACTCTCCGAACGTGCAATGTCAACGGCTCGGCATACTGCAGCCTGGCCTCCTTTAGTGGTGCTCCATCATCAAGAACGCTTCCAGTGGAATCCAAGAGTCGACCTTTGCCAGCGCCCAGGGCTCTTTGCGCACGCAGCCTCAGCGATTCCACGGATTCGTCCTCGTGGGTCTGAAGCGATGCAGTCTTGCCACTTAGGAGGCTTACCTCCAGCGTCAGCGACATGATGGAAGCTCCAGCGTCGGGTCAGCTCATGGCAACGTAAAGGCACCAACGTGTGCTACTCTGTTTCTATAGAGCAGGGATAAGGGTTCTACAGGGGCTCTATATGGGTCTACGAACGTTCAAAGAGGAAAAATGGGGCTACAAGGACCATACGACGAGGCAACTGCATTGCTACATTGCTTGGCGTTTACCAACGCAAAACTCAGCGTCAACGACATCACACTCGCTAGCCCTAAACCCTAAACCCCTAAACCCCTAAACGCCTAAACCCGTGAGACCCCGAACCCTAAAACGGTAAGCCCTAGAACCCGACTTCTGCAGCCTCGAACTGGCTCTCAGGCTTTCACGTAACACCACAAGATGTTTGCAGGAGTTGCACTGTATCTAGATGTCATCAGAAATATGAGTTGTCGCCTCAGCCAAAACTGCCAACACTACAGTCCTGAACCCTAAACCCCAAAGACCCTAACTTAACCCTATAACACCTAAAATCCTAAACCCTAAACCCTAAAACCTAAAATCCTAAAATCCTAAACCCTAAACCCTAAAACCTAAAATCCTAAATCCTCCCTGAAACTACGATCAGAGGCTCCCGGCACCCACCAAGGCAGTTGTTCAATGCATGCATGCGGTTTGGGGTTTAGGGTTTAGGGTTTAGGGGTTTGGGGTCCAAAAGGTTGAGGGTTTAGGAGGGAATGAGCGGGAAGGGAAGAGTGTCCCTAAACCCTATAAAGCTTAAACCCAAAACCCCTAAACCCCGAAACCCTGAAACCCTAAACCCCTAAACCCTGAACCCTAAACCCTGAAACCCTATCTGAAACATCTCAGACTTGCCGGCGCTTGGGACCTGCGGGAGGGGATAGGGTGGTGATTCGAAAAGCCCGGTTCAGGGTTTATAGGGCTTAGGGTTTAGGGTCCATTTAGGGTTTAGAATTTAGGGGCTTAGGGTTCAGGGGTGTGGGGTTTAGGGTTTAGGGAGTTTAGGGCAACCAACAAAGCCTAGAACGGCAACTATCGAGAGCACAAGCCGAGGGCCAGAATCGTACACATCGCAGTTATGCGAGGGACATAAGCATGACGCAGCACATACTGCCGACACCAAGAATAGTAGTAAATCGCGATCCAAGACCTGCCACGAAACTGGTATCCTGATCCTGTCCAGATACAGGTTGCCCTCCTCCTCCTCCACCTCCTCCTCATAACCACCATTTTCGTCTTCATGACAAAAACTTAGGGGCTGAGTACCCTAGCCCAAAAAAGGCTAACCTTTGGAATTATAGTAGGATCGTATAAGCCCCAAAAGGTTGAAGGTTACCTATTCAGCCCCTGAGAAAAACACTGACAATTGCCCCCAAACAGCCAACCCAGCCAGGCCACCGAAGGGCCACCGCCAGGTAGAGCGCGTAAATCCTGGGATTTCTCTCGGAACTTCCCGAACCCTGCCTATAGTCTCCATTGTAGCTCCTTTTTGGGGTTACCTTTTAGGATCCTTAATGTAAAACTGGTTAAGCCAAAAAGCGGAACTACAATGGAGACCATAGGTACACATCCAAGTTCCCGACTTCACATGCTGTGCTGTGGCGTTGGGTTTAGGGTCGGGGTTTTGGGGTTAAGGCCTTCTTGCATTGTGTTTGCTAGCCCACTAGCTGAGTGCCTGATCCTCAGCAAAGCATTTGACACTTTGACTTGAACAGATAAGAAACTGAAGCCAGGTTCTGCAAACTTTTGCACCAGTTCTTCGGACCACACATTATAGGACAGTCTCATAGCGGTAGGATTTAGGTGTAAAGGCAAGTGATGAAACCGTTGGGGGTTTTGCAATTCTAGTTTGCTGAGGCTGTGGGCGATTTTGGGGCATGTGCAGCTTTAAGGACATGGGGACCAGCCGTAGGGGATCCTTAAACACCGCATGCCGGGATGATGCTGCAAATCATGCTATCAGTCTTGTCTAAAACATTGAAAATTACGCATTACTCCTTTACATGACCCTAAGGGTCCATGTACCCAAATAGTATATACGTTGGCCTTAATGTAGTCCCTATATAGGTACTTTAGGGCCCATGTATATGCTATATGAATACATGGACCCTAAGGGTTATTCACAACACCCGGAACCTGGACTCTGAAATGCGGCCAGGCTTCATCAAGAAAAGATAGCCAGACCACCGTGGAAAGGTGCCTCGGCAGAAAATGAAGACGGAGACCACGGGCAGCAGAGTGACCTCATGCAGTCAGGAGAGTGTTTTAAAGTGGGTTTAGGGTTTATGTTGAGGGCTGTAGGGTCTGTGTTCTCCACGCTTAACGCCACAGCTGTCCGTCATGTCAACCCGGAATTGGGCGGAAACGTGAACACGCAGGGTATGCGAGAAAACCACAAGCTCTACTTGTACGCCCCACACGTCCATGTCCGGCACACCAGCAATGGCAATCTTTAAACGTAATGTGCGCTCTCAGTCAAGCGCTGGAGGCACGCTAATGATACGTCTTGCACCTTCTCTCCCTGCCTGTCTCTCCCTTGGTTATTTCCACTCTTTCAGGGCTCTGTGGGAAATTCATTCTGGCAGTCAAGCAGCACAGGGCCCTGCCAATGAGTTAAGAATCAGTATATACATACTGGGCTCTATCCTGCCATCGTAAATAAAGGCGCGCCATGCTGAGATGTCCAGTTATTGAAGGTGATATGCCTGGACCGTGAAGAACCTACCTTTTTGAGGACTTATGTTCGAGAACTCAGAATAAGGAACCCTCAAAAAGTATGTTCTTTAGGGTCCAGATGAAGCTAGGCTTTCTTCCAAGGACAGCCTTTTCGGGAAGCAGCCTTGAAAACATAATGCACGACCCCCCTCAAATGAAACCCTATAAACCCTTAAACCCTTAAACCCCAAAACCCTAAATTCTAAACCCTAACACCTAAACCCTAAATCCTAAACCCTAAAACCTAAACCCTAGTTCAAAGCTCTAAAGCCCAATCTTTGGGATCTGGGCCGGCCCAGGTCCTGCGGGTAATGTCGCCAAGAAAGGCTGGGATTCAGTCATGTAGGGGCCTTAATAATTAGAGTAGGGTTTTGGGGGCTCCTTAATATAACCATGGTAGAATATATAGCTTAAAACCCTATTCTAATGATCGGCCCCTAAACCCTAAACCCTTATAGTAGCCCTTATAGAACCAAACCCTAAACCCTTATAGTAGCCCTTATAGAACCCTTAAAGGAACCCTTTAAAGGAACCCTATTCTGACTGATAAGGTCCCTATATATTACTTCAGCATGAGTATGCGGTTCGGGTCAGCTCCTGGGCTCATTACTCTTAGTGTTTAAGGTTTCAGGGGCTTCGGGTTTAGGGTTTGGGGTGTAGGGTTTAGGGGTTTTAGGGGCTTCGGGTTTGGGGTTTAGGGTTTTGGGTTTAAGGGTTTAGGGGTTTAGGGGTTTAGGGCTTAGGGTTTAGGGTTTAGGGTTTAAGGGTTTAGGGTTTAAGGGTTTAGGGGTTTAGGGTTTTCTTGTCAACGCC